TTTTTTAACTAATGCATTCCTGAGTGTTTTGATTTTTTGCGAAAGAAAATACTTTTTAAGGTAATTGAATACCTACATGAATCTTGTACTTCCTTAATAATTCATTTGGCAATGTATATAAAAATAGTGTTGATATGTTAAAAGCTTTCATTTGAAGGCCAAAGAACAATTGATACATTGTTTTTCACAGCGCTTTTTATAAATATTATGTCCTAAGTGCATTGATTATTTGAAATACTCCTCTTTTACCCCCTCCATGGTAAAGAATTATTTTGGCTGTTTTACCAAAAGTGCTTGTGGCAGTCTAAAGATGACCACTTTAATAGTTAGCTCACTAGGATATGTGCCTGTAAATGGAGAGTTTTCTTTCCTGAGCTCAAATAAAGGTAATGGTTCATCTGTGAGATATATTGGGACTCAAATACCAATTTAGAAGGAAAATTGTATTTATTCTCTCCCCTTAGCCTTGATGCATGTTGAAATCTGCAGGGACAAGTTCACTAATACAGTAGCTGCCATCTATTGGGAGCCATTATTGATCTAAGTGTTTTATGTATATCAGGTCTCTTGTCTGCAAGGAAGGTATTTTTATGATTTTACCAGAAAAGGAAATTGAGGTCTAGAGAAATTAATTAGCTAATTTTATATGTACTTCATTAAGCATTTTATTTAAGGCCTGTTGTATGTCAGGTGCCAGGGATTGAGGAATAAACAAAATAAGATGTAGTCACTGCCCTTAAAGCACTCATGATTTTGTCTCTTGATTGATAATATAATAATAGGGATAATTGCTATCATTATTACTTTCTGTGTGCTAAGTTTAGTAATCATTACTCTACAAACCCTTATCTCATTTTAATCCTGGTAAGTCTAATCCTCACAAAATGTGTCAGTATCCACATTTTATGGATGAGGAGGCAGAGGCCCAGAGAGGCTTAACTTTCTCAGGGTCACACAGTTAGTATGTGGCTGAGTTCATACTTAAACATGGATCTTACTTTAGAGCTCATATTCTTCTCAACTTTCCTCATTCTAGTAGGAGTTGAAATGAGTAATTATGTGAAAGGGACATGATTTTGGCAGAACTTTATGTAACTTTGACTTTGCCAGTAGATTTATTTTTATGGTTAACTTTCTACTTCATAATCTCTTATTCTAGGAGTCATCAGATCGTTTTCATGATTTATGAAAGATACTTTTAAGAAGTCTAATTTTTGCCGGGCACAGTGGCTCATGCCTGTAAATCCGAGCACTTTGGGAGGCTGATGTGGGCGGATCATAAGGTCAAGAGATTGAGTCTAGCTTGACCAACATGGAGAAACCCTGTCTCTACTAAAAATAAAAAAATAGCTGGGCAGGGCGGTGCCTGTAGTACCAACTACTTGGGAGGTGGAGGTTGCAGTGAGCTGAGATGGCACCACTATACTCCATCCTGGCAGCAGAGCAAGACTCCGTCTCAAAAAAAAAGGAAAAAGGGCTTATTTTTACTACAACAGTAATGTGCAGTCTCTCTTGAAATTCAGAAACTATAGTCCCAAAAAAGGACATAAATAACACTACCTAGAGAAAATTGTTTGGTATAATTTTTCTTTCCAAACTTGAAAACTTATAGAGAGGGAGAGAGAGTGTGTATGTCTATATGTGCTTGTATGCATATATACAAGCCATATGTGGCATATTTTATGTACCATTGAGCATAAACAGATTATAAAACATTTCATCAGTATACCTTTATATGATTTTGGTGTTTTTTTTTTTGAGAGAGGGAATCTCGCTCTGTCGCCCAAGTCAGAGTGCAGTGGTGCGGTCTCTGCTTACTGCAACCTCTGCCTCCCAGTTTCGAGTGACTCTTCTGCCTCAGCCTCCTGAGTAGTGGGGATTACAGGCACGTGCCACCACGCCCAGCTGATTTTTGTATTTTTAGTTGAGACGGGGTTTTACGATGTTGGCCAGGCTGGTCTTGAACCTCCTGACTTCAAGTGATCTGCCTGTTTTAGCCTCCCAAAGGGCTGGGATTACAGGCATGAACCACTGCACCCAGCCACCTTTATAAGATATTAAGTAACTGACATAATTATTTAATGGCTATATAATATTTGTTTGTATGGATTTAATTTTATCTTCAGTTCACTCCCTATTATTTGAATATTTAGGTTGCATAATTTTTTTCCCCTTCATCCTTCCTCCTGCCTCTTTCCTTTATGCTATTATAAACATTGCTTTGAAGAACAACCTTGTGCATACATCTGTGTGTCCTTGTTTTACATTGTTCTCACAGAGAAATGGAATTGTTAGGACAAATAGTGTACATTTCAACAGCTGTTCATAGATACTGTCAAATTGTCTACAGAAAGCTTATGTCATTTATAGTTCTGGCAGAATATGACACTGTCTATTTAGTATTTCTTTATAACCATTAGAAAACACATTTTTAAAGTTTTAAATGTCGTAAAAAAATTACTAATAGAATTACTGGATTACTGGCAACCAAAGAAAAGAATGAAAGAACTCTGTATTTCTAAAAGGATATGAAGAAATTCATGAAGCATAGTTATTGCTCTTTTAAGTGCTGCAAGTTAATCTAAGATGACTTCTCAATACTAATCAACACATGGAGGAAACTTTCAAATAAAGAGTCACTGATGTGTTCCTTCCTCTCATTCTTAGTTGTCAGTCCAAACTAACTCCAGCAATAAAACAGGAAAGTATTTGAGATAAGATTGAGAGATGCCAGGGAGTAAGGTCTACTTCTACGCAAAGAGCTCTGTGAAAGATGACCTGTGGCCATTCTGTTATGTATCTAAATGCGTGTTAGAATTAATGTTAAAGCTTATTTATTTAATTATTATTATTATTTTTTATATGTTGACCAGGCTGGTCTCAAACTCTTGGCCTCAAGTGATCCTCCCACCTGGGCTTCCCAAAGTGCTGGGATTACGGGCATGACCCACTGTGCCTGTCATAGCTTTTAGTTCTTGGCCAGGCATGGTGGTTCACACTTCTCATCTCAGCACTTTGAGAGGTTGAGGTGGGAAGATAGCTTGAGGCCAGGAGTTCGGGATCAGCCTGGGCAACATAGTGAGACCCTGTCTCTACAAAATAAAAATTAAAAAATTAGCTAGCTGGTGATGCATGCCTGTAGTTGTAGCTACCGAAGAGGCTGAGGCAGAAGGATCACTTGAACTCAGGAGTTAGAGGTTACAGTGAGCTATGATCATACTGCCTTTACTCCAGCCTGGGTGACAGAGCAAGACCCTGTCTCTGAAAAAAAAAAATTAAAAAAGTTTAGTCCTAAAATTACAAATACATGTATAATCTACATATGTTCCCCAAGTCACAGTGACATGTTGACATCAAGGTTTAGATAACCAAGAAAACAAGCAAATTAAACATTGGAACCATGTTCTTTAGTATAGGCAGACCTTTTTCTCTGAGCCAAAGATGAGTTAATTGGTCTCAGCTTTAATAATAAATTTCAACAATAATATTTGTGAAGGTTTTCTTTACTATAAGTAGGAAGAGCCAGTTGTATAGGTAGTTATAAGTCAGGTAGATGTGTAAGGTAGTCTCCTGGCACTGTTGCTACCCCAGTGTGTCTTTGTTTTCCTGGACATTCTTAGGATTATCTTGTTGATTTTCAGCCTATTTTCTGGTTACAGAGAAATAGCTGATTAATTAAAATTTAGTGTATATATATATATATATTTTTTTTTTTTTTTTTTAAACAGTTTTACTCTGTTGTCCAGGCTGGGGTGCAGTGGCATGATCTCAGCGCACTGCAGCCTCTGCCTCTTAGGTTCAGGCAATTCTGCCTCAGTTTCCCAAGTAGCTGAGACCACAGTTGTGTGCCATCGTGCCCAGCTTATTTTTGTATTTTTAGTGGAGATGGGTTTACCATGTTGGTCAAGCTAGTCTCAAACTCCTGACCTCAAGTGATCCGCATGCCTTGGCCTCCCAAAGTGCTGGGATTACAGAGGTAAGTCACCATGCCCGGCATATTATATCACTAGAAGTAGAAATTTGATTTATGATGGTTCTATAATACAGTCTTGGAACATGTAGATAGTTAAGTCAGATGTGGGAAGGGCGTCTCTGGTCTTGAAACCACCCAGTTTTTTATGTAGTATACCTGACTGTTGAATTGTTTAGTTTCGTTATGAATTCCAGATGTTACTCTGTTTTGGGAAGGGACCCTGTGTGGAATTTTGAGGACATCCTCTCTGCCAACCTGAAATGATCAGAATTTTTATAGGCCTCCCAAAGGACCTGTTTCGGAAATCTTTTGGGGCAAGGCCAGCTCTGATTTGCTTTCTCTATTAGAACCACATTATTTGGGCTTAAATCTCAGAAGTGTGCCATTCTGCTTTTTTCCTGTTTCCATCCCTTAGTAACTTGAGTTATAATAAACTGTTTACCAAAGAAGCTAGTCATTTTTGCCTAAGTATTCTCTTGACAAACTGCCCCTTTGAGGTTGCAGAAAAGAGAGAAATAACCCTTAGTAGGTCAACCAACAAATAGGACCATGGCATCTCACGTTCCAGAGGATTCTTCCTTAGCTCTTACTACTTTCTTTGCTGTCTTGGGGATCTGGGATAAACAATTAGCTCAGCAAATCAGTGGTAGGAATTAAATGTTTCTGTGCATTTTTTTCTGGGACATATGACAATAATAATGGAGAACAAAATAATCAGAGAATGAGTAAAAAGACAGTAATAAGGATGCCAGATTAAAAATAGGAAGGTGGAAACTCACTGACTGGTAGAAATGTAAAGGATACGTTCTGATGTAGAGCATTCTGTAGCTGAGAAAAACTTGTTAGTGAACAAACAGTGGATTAGGATTCATTAAATTTGGGTTCTAGGCTTAGTTTGCTGCCAACAACCTTTTGAGGTGGGGTGGGTGAGTCGCTTAGCTCACCCCACCTCAGTTCTGCCATCAAAAATGAAATTACTAGTCTTACCAGGTTTTTGTTTGGTTCTTTGTTGTGTTTTCTCCAAAAGGTGTCCTCAAGTCCTGGAAATCCTTGGAATTATATGAAGGGCCCAAATGGGATTGGGCAGAGGATGGAAAAGAGAGCAAGTGGTGCTACACTGAGTTCCACTTCTGTGAGTTTCCTGTAATGTTTCCTTCGAAGACATTTCCATGGGCAAAAAAATCAGTTTGGAAACATCTGGATGGGAAAATATCTTGAAAGTGCCTTCTGGTGCCTAGGATTTGGTGTTCGTGAATCTCCGTCTGTTGGTTGGATGTCTTTGTTCTTGGTCTCTTTCAGGATTAGGGAAATATTGGCTCACCATGAAGGAACTATATAATACAGTGGACGATTGTGGTATCTGACTACATGGCTGTGTCCTGATGTTAACTGCCCATGAGATATTTCTCATCTAAGCAATTAGAAATTACTTTTTGTCTGTCCCCTAACTTGGGAAATCCCAAATAAAAAGATACACATAATCATATTCCTTGCTTATCAAAACCTATTTATACTAGCTGCCCCCCCCCTTTTTTTTCTGAGCACTTACTTTGTAGCATTTTATCTGCATTGTCTCGCTTAACCCTGGGATGATCTTGTGAAGTAGCTGGAGTTAGCTCTACCGTAAATGGTAGTTGAGGGTTACTAAAATTCAAGCTTGGCTAAACTCCCACAGCCAGGAAGTGCAAGAGCTGGGATTTGAAACTAGGATTGTGTTTCTAAAATATATGCATTTTTTATTATGTTCACCTGCCTTTCTTTTTTTTATTTTTTTTAAAAGATGGGGTTTCACCATGTTGGTCAGGCTGGTCTTGAACTCCCGACCTCAGGTGATCCGCCCGCCTTGGCCTCCAAAGTGTTTGGATTACAGGCGTGACCCACCACGCCTGGCCTCACCTGCCTTTCTTAAAGTTATAGGAGTTTTGTAGCTGTGAGACGTTTTTAATAGCACAGCTATTACTCATGTTTTTCATTAATGAAATCTGGTAATTTAAGTGATTAGCAACTTTCATTGTTCTTAACTGCTTGTTATACCAAGGACTCTTAATAAGGCAGAAATGATTAGATCATATGTATACATTATTCCTTATCTGTTACATCCTCATAAGTAAGGAAAAAAGGAGAAATTTATCAGATTAGAGCAGAATGAAATAAGCTATGTTTTCTTTAACAGTTGGAAATTATTCCTAAAAGAATAATAGATATAAAAAATCTAAAATAGGTGATGCTAAATTCCTTAGAGTCAGTGACCATATGGAGAGTAGATTGTTTTGTTTTGTTTTTTTTTGGAAGAAAACTAAGCCTTGATGCAGAGATTAGATTGTTTTATGATCATTGTGGTGCTAACTTTGATGCCCTAAGAACAGATTTACCATGGTGGTACCTACTGCAAAAAGATTGGGCATTTTTTTCTTCAAAACATAATTTATTGCTGGATGCTGTAAAAATACCAAAATGTGATGTGCATTAGTGCTACTCACTGTAATTTCCAGTTCTCCTTTTTGCATGTGGAATATCACTTTTCCCAGCCTTTTTCAAGATGGCATGGTCTTTTCCCATCACTTTGGGAGGCCAAGGCAGGTGGATCACCTGAGGTTAGGAGTTCGAGACCAGCCTGATCAACATGGTAAAACCTTGTCTCTATTAAAAATACAAAAATTAGCCAGGTGTGGTGGCGCATGCCTGTCATCCCAGCTACTGGAAAGGTTGAGACAGGAGAATCACTTGAACTCGGGAGGCGGGGGTTGCAGTGAGCTGAGATTGTGCCATTGCACCCAACCTGGGCAACAAGAGTGAAACTCCGTCTCAAAAACAAACAAACAAACAAACAAAAGATGGTGAAATCCTCTCTCTGTTTCCTTGCTTTTGGGACTTGGAAGCACTAGTAGGTATGACAGTACCACTTGATTAAATCACTTTGGAATACTGCTCCCAGACTTGAAGGATAGCTGCCCCAGAGAGTTCCCTGGAGCCATAGTGATCTTTGAGTGAGTGAAGAGTAAACTTCTGATGCCTTCTGGTTGTTGTTACCATAGTACAGCCTAGCTTATCCTGACTTACACACATCATCAGATATCATTAATGTAAAAGATTTTTAAGGACAGGGACTGACTAGGATTGAAGCATAATTACCTTGGATGCAGATGAGGTCAATAGCATAGTTAAGGGCAGGTTTTCTCTTTTAGCTGTCTGTCATCTGCTTTATGTTCTGTCAGTTTCTTCTTCTTCTTCTTCTTTTTTTTTTTTTTGAGACTGAGTTTCGCTCTTGTTACCCAGGCTGGTAGTGCAATGGCGCGATCTCGGCTCACCGCAACCTCCGCCTCCTGGGTTCACGCAATTCTCTTCCCTCAGCCTCCTGAGTAGCTGAGACTACAGGCACGCGCCACTATGCCCAGCTAATTTTTTGTATTTTTAATACAGACGGGGTTTCACCACGTTGACCAGGATGGTCTTCATCTCTTGACCTCGTGATCCACCCGCCTCAACCTCCCAAAGTGCTGGGATTACAGGCTTGAGCCACCGCGCCCGGCCCAGTTTATTCTTCCTTTAGTTTAGCTTTGGTCATGTCACTGCCCCATTTAAAAATAGTAGTTCCTCATTGCCCACAGAATAAAATCTGAGTAAGGCCTGCCATGGTTTGGTTCTGCAACAACATGCTTTAAAAACTGTTCTCTCACCATGGTGATTTGTTTACAACATGTGCCTTTGCCGATTCATGAATTTGAGAAACACGTTGATTACTTTGTATGCCAGTGTGGACTAGACCCTAGGGACACACAGAATGTTCCTTTTCATCTGTTCATTTCCAATTTTGCCTTAGCTTTTTCTTCTTCCGGTAGTGGATCTTGGCTTTCTCCTTCCTCTTCTCCTCCAGGGTGGCTGTCACCAACCTCGTGAGCCAGGCGCCCCAGATAGGCAAACTTCCTTATAGGCTTCAGACATACGACCTTGAGGGCCACGGGAACCACCACCCGCTTTTTCTTGTCGTGGGGCGGTGGGATGCCATCAAACACCTTGAGGCGGTCCAAGGCGGCCTGGCCTTGCTTGGTCTTGTGGGGCAGCATGCCTCTCACGGTCCGCCAGAAGATGTGGCTGGGGGCCCGGAAGTGATAGGGACCTCGGAAAAGGTTGGTGTTCATCCGCTTGCGGAGGAAAGCCAGGTACTTCAACTTGTTTCTGTAGAAATTGCCAGAAATGTTGATGCCCTCGCAGCGAGCAACCACCGCCTTCCGGTTCAGCAGTACCTGCTTAGCCACGATGGCTGCCAGGCGGCCCAGGAGATGGCCTCGACCATCGAGCACCAGGACCTGCACCTCCGCCATCTTCGGGAGCCGCCCGGGAAAGTAGTGTATTTTTTATATAGCCAAAGACAATTCTTCTTTTTCCAGTGTGGCCCAGGGAAGCCAGAAGATTGGACCCTGCTCCTTTAATTTTTCTTCTGTTTGATGCAGGAACACTTGACAAGTTAGTTAAGGTAGATTAGTTCATAAATTTATAGGTTCTTTCATTCTTATGTCATAGGCAAGTCTGAGCAGGATCTGGAAAGCTCATTCAAAGGCTAGTGAGCACAGTGTGCTTAATTTATAATTAAATGGATATTTAATACATTGAGAAGGTACTCAAGCTTTTCAGTCTTTCTTTTTTATTCATGCTTGCTGTTTGAATCTGATGGGCTTGAAATTGACTTTGTTCTTCTTCTAAAAATGTTGGTTTGTTATTGCTACCTTTCTCAAGCTTGGTTTTCAGTGTGGATTTCTGCAGATAATTTTTGCACTTAAAAGTACAGAGTTGGCCGGGCGCGGTGGCTCACGCCTGTAATCCCAGCACTTTGGGAGGCCAAGGCGGGTGGATCACGAGGTCAAGAGATTGAGACCATCCTGGTCAACTTGGTGAAACCCCGTCTCTACTAAAAATACAACAAATTAGCTGGGCATTGTGGCGCGTGCCTGTAATCCCAGCTATTCAGGAGGCTGAGGCAGGAGAATTGCCTGAACCCAGGAGGCGGAGGTTGCAGTGAGCTGAGATCGCACCATTGCACTCCAGCCTAGGTAACAAGAGCAAAACTCCGTCTCAAAAAAAAAAAAAAAAGTACAGAGTCATTAAGTGAAGTCAGTTAGAAAGGAAAGAGTACCCCTAGCCAGGAGGTCTGTTACAGGGTATGGAGTGAACCAGAAAATGAATGGGCATGGACATGAGGATGGAGTTGGTTCAGTCAGTGTGAGAAAGCCACCTGTGTGTCATCTTCCTACTGCGTTGTCCAGCAGAACACATTGTAGGTTGGGGCTTGCGACTGGTGTGGAGATTATTGTATTTAGGAGGTTGATGTAGATTATTTTTCCTCTAAGTGTATGTTAACTGCATTTTGGCCAGGTCTTGATCTGAGACATACACAGCTTGATCTGTGCCAGACCTGTAAGGATTTTAGTATAAAGAGGGTTCTGTTATTTGAGTTATGCACAGCTACCAAGGCATTGCTTTTCATTTCAAACATTTGGTAATTTCAATTTATTGTTAGTGAGGCTTTTGTAATTTGTTAGAACACAAAGTTTGGGATTTTGTCTGTTTTTTTTTTTTTTTGGCATGTATGAATGATATTTTATACTATTTGTATTGCTGGTTAGTATGTGCCTTCATTTACCTATTGTGAATAAGAAACTTCCTCAGATCAAATTAGAGGACGAAATCACTTGATACTCAAACTCAGGGTACTTGGTAAAGGACCTACCATTCGGAGCATTTATAGCCTAGATGAAGTCCTGGTCAAATCACCACGTTAAACTTTTAAGAACATGCTATTCTTAATATGCAGGAATTCAACTCTGGAAGCCTTCTCTGAATCTTAAAGAGATTCTTATGAGAACTCATTTAGTGAAAATAACAATCAGGGAATCCAGCTATTAATATTGAGGAGGGTCATGACTTTTAGTGGTTAGAGGGGCAAGCTGTAGCCTCCCTTCTCAGAGAAGGTGTATTAAGAAAGAGAGTTCTAGGGTCCCTTGCAATCCTCCTTTCACTTTCCAGGCTTCTTGGTAAGACTGAAAGAAGTCCCTGAGCAAACAACATTTTGAGAGTTTGAGGGACTATGTAAAAATGTAAGTGAACATGCAGTAGTTTTATTTTGATAACTGCTTTAAATATCCTGTTGGTTGTTGAAACTTCTGTGACAGTGAAGCATTTTATCTTTATTTTTCAGTCCAAAAATCTTACTTCCCCACTTGAAAAGATTGAGACTGGGATCAGTCCCTCATCCCATCTCCTTCCTAAATCTCTTACTGTATAGTATACAGCTGGGCATATAGTAATCTCTAGCGTGGGATTGTACTCAGAGCTATGCTTGACATCTAGGACTTTAGGTGGCTTATACATTTTTGATGACAGCTTTTAATTTTATTCTCATTTATTTATTCCATTTCTCTTTCAGTGTCCTGGGTCATGAAATTTATTCTGAGATTTCATGAATAAATGAAATCAAAGGTAGGTCCTTTACCAAGTACCCTGAGTTTGAGTATCAATTTATCATATTCATGAGTAAATTCTGAGATTTTTTTTTAATGTTGTATTTATCTGTTCTGTTTACTTGTTATAATAAGCTCACACTCTCTAATTGTCCTGCAAAACAGTACTGCAGCTTCTTCCTTTTACCTGCACTGCATTCCTGTAAAAGTAGTGTGGAGATCCTCCTGTCACTGTTATTTACCTTATGTTGCAACTAGGTGGCACTGTCATTGGCAAGAGTGCTGTTTTCTTTATATACCTAAGAGTAGAATTGCTTGGGTATATGATAACTGTGTTTAAATTTTGAGAAATTGGAAAACTGTTTTCTACAGTGCCTGCACCATTTTACATTGCTACCAGCAGTGTATAAGGACTTCAGTTTTTCAATATGCTTGCCAACACAGGTTATCTGACTTTGATTTATAGCCATCCTAATAGGTGTGAATTGATAACCTCATTGTGGTTTTGATTTTGCATTTCCCAAATGGCGAATAATTTTGAACTGCTTTTTATGTGCGTATTGGCCATTTTTCTGTGCCTTTGGAGAAATGCCTATTCAGATCCTTTGCCCATTTTTAAATTGGGTTGTTTGATTAAATTGGAAGGGTTCTTTGTATATTTTGATTACAGGTCCCTTATCATATATGATTGGCAAAAAATTTCTCTCATTCTGTGGGTTGTCATTTCACTTTCTTGATGGTATTCTTTCAAGCAAAATTTCAGTTTTGATAATGTTCTGTTGTCATTTGGTTTTTTGTTTGTTTCTTTTTTTGGTATCATGTATAAGAATAAGTCTTTGCCTAACCCAAAGTCAGAGATTTACTCCCATGTTTTCATCTAGGAATTTTACAGGTTTTGCTCTTAAATTTAGGTATGTACTCTAAGAGTTAATTTTTGTGTATTTTGTAAGGGAAGAGTCCAACTTTTTTCTTTTGCACGTGGATCTCTAGTTGTTCCAGCACCATTTGTTGAAAAAACTATTCTTTCCCCATTGCATTGTCTTGGACATCCTTGTTGAAATTGATCATAAATGTAAGGAATTTTTTCTGGACTCTGAATTTGGTTTCATTTAGGAATCAATTTCTTTCAACAGTGTTTTGATTTCTTTCAACAGTGTTTTGTAGTTTTCACTGTTGTATAAACTTGGTACTTTCTTGAAATTTGTTGCGTATTATTTTCCTCATTTTGATGCTTTTAATTTTGTTTAATTTTTCATTTTTTGATTGTTAATTGCTTAGGTATAGAGATGCTGTTGATTTTTGCATACCGATCTCTGAAGCTATAATCTTGTTTTGGTGATCAGTTATAAACTATAGTGTGGCTTGTTTGGCGACAGTTTTTAAGTGGATGCCTTAGGATTTTCTATGTACAGGATTAGGTAATCGGCGATTGTTTTCTTTTTTTCCAATCTGGATGGCTTTTATTTCTTTTTTGTGCCTAATTGCCCTGGGAAGCATCTCTGGCACAACATTGAATGGAAGTGGTAAGCACAAACATCCTTGTAATACTTAATGGAGCAATGTGTTATCCTCTTTTTAAAAGGAGAGTAACAGTGTGTTGGATTCTCAATGAACAGAGTCAGGACCCAGGGATATATGCTGTTGGTGAGGAAAGGTAGATATTTTATGATAGTCCATTGGGCAGGGTGGTGGGGTCAGTTCTCTGTACCTAGGGAAAGAAAGAATAAGCAAAAGAACAGAAAGCTTGTGAAGTTTTTCTTTTAGATCATATTTGGGATCTGCCAGGGTGCATATCTTCAGTAGAAGAGAGAATATTGCTACTAAAGAAGGAAAAACACTGTACCCAGAGAAGAACTTTTATCTGTCAGTTAAGACAGGCTGTACTGCAAGTAAATACTTTAATGAGGCTTTGAATAAAGATGTATCGAGAATATGTTGCAGTAGTTAAAAATGTAAGAAAGGTTCCAGAGTGTATGGGTGGCAGTGTACTGTTGAGTGTTTAAATGAAGTTCCTTTAATGAATTAAAATGTTGACTGTAGAATGTGCAGGACACTGGCCTGAAACTTAGGAGACCAGTAGCTCAATATGGCTATGACTTGGTTTTCATGCCTGTGTGTTTGTATGAGTACAACCTTTATGTTAGGCAAGCTAGTTACATCACTAAGTCGGGTTTTTCTTACAGCCTCCGCAAAAGTATTGATCATTGCCAGATGAATTTATAAGAATTGCAGTTTCAGTTCCATTTAGTGGTAGTGCTAAAAACTTTGAGTAGCTTAGTAATAACCTTATCGGTATGAGGGCCTGGATAGTTTAGAGAGAATAAAGATGGAGAAGCAGTGGCAGATGCAAGAACTATTTCAAAAGAAACAGCAGGTCTAAATGCTTTATTAGACATAGGGAGTGAAAGAGAACCATGAATCACAGTTGATTGAGAACTTGAGTGAGTGACAACTGATGCCATCATCAGGTATAGAAAAGGAGATGATGAGCTTGTGTTCTGTTGTTGTTGTTGTTTTTAAGGAGAAGTCTTGCTCTGTCACTAGGCTAGAGTGCAGTGGCACAGTCTTGGCTCACTGCAACCTCCGCCTCCCAGGTTCAAGTGATTCCCCTGCCTCAGTCTCCCGAGTAGCTGGGACTGCCGGTGCGCACCACCACCATGCCCGGCTAGTTTTTTGTAGTTTGGTAGAGACGGGGTTTCACCAAGTTGACCAGGATGATCTCGGTCTCTTGACCTCTTGATCCACCCACATCTACCTCCCAAATTACAGGCATGAGCCACTGTGTAGGCTGATGAGCTTGTTCTTTACACATGTTAAATAAAGGCACATGAGTGTCCTGTTGGTAGGTGGAGGTGTAGGCTTGAAGCTACAGAGCAAGGAAGTTGGTTTTGAAGTGAGATAGTTTGAGTCATCTCTAAGAAATTGATTCTTTTGACTTTGTGAAGAGATGAGCTCTTTGAGAAAGTAAAAGAGTGGATGGAATTAGTATAGTGGATTTTGGTGTAGAAGACAAAGTTGTCAAGAAAGGAGCACCAGAAACCTGGGTTGCATTAGAGCCTTAAACATTTTATTCCTGGAGTTACTTAATTTCACTTACACATCAAGATTGGAAATAAACTTTGGACTCTAGCTGGGCAATTTATGCTTTTATTCAGGTGCCTTTTTTGTGCCAAGACCTGTTCTGGATTAAACATTTTATTCCTGGAGTTACTTAATTTCACTTACACCTCAAGATTGGAAATAAACTTTGGACTCTAGCTGGGCAGTTTGCTTTTATTCAGGTGCCTTTTTTGTGCCAAGACCTGTTCTGGATGCTGGAGATTTAGCCATGAACAAAACAGAAGGTCCCTGCTCTCCTGGTACTTGCATGGTAGTGAGAAGAAGGAAGTCAGCAAGATAACATATCAGGAAGAAAAGTTCTATGAAAATAAACAAAATGGCAGTGTGATGGTGCCTGACTAGGGGCTATTTTATGTTGGGTGGTCAGGGAAGGCTTTTGAGGGGCATGTTATTGAGGCTGAGACCTGAAGGAGCCAGAATGTGAAGATCCTGGAAGTGTTCTAGCCCAAGAGAACAAATGCAGAAACTCTAAAATGAGAAGTAGAGTTAATGTGTTTGAGGAACAGAACAAGGGATGGGGCTTAGTGAGTGCAAGGGCAGGGAGGCGGGGCAATTTCTTCTCCTGGATGAGACTGGAGATTTAGGGAGGAGATGAGGAAGAAGTTGGATCTAGTAGGATTTAACAGACCATTGGATAATATTCCTGGGCCTACCTTCTCTCACATCTAAACCCTGCTGCAGCACCCATGCCTGTGTGTACTTGGAAAACTTTAGAGCTCCTGCTGGCTTGAGGTCAAGTCACTTCTCTTAGGGATACTATGATTTATCCTAATGTGGATCTGCTGACTGTGGGCAGACAGGATTCTTAGGTAGTTTAAACATACATATTTTGGACTACCCTTTTGAGGAAAAAATGGTTTTAGTCCTTTCTAGTTATTGTTAAATTCACATTTATATATAAATGGATGTTCTTGAATTGAGAATTTTTTTTAAGTAGATTTGGCTCTTATGAGAGAATAGTATAATAAATAATATTTCTTTATTTTTATATCGTTTCATGGCTGAATTGCTTTTTGGGAGAAAACCATACATTTTCAACACTTGCTTCTGTTAGTCTATTTGTGAACCTTAATAAGTGGTGTGTAATATGATTTAAGAGGAGTTTTCTGTGGTTACTTTACCTGCAGTTGTGTAGCATTCATTTGTATCACCTGTAACATTTCTAGATGACAACTCCTTAAAAACGAGATGATGTTTGGATAGTACCTCATAGATAAGAAAGCAGATTTGTATACCTAATGTTATGCATGCAGTGCTCACAGCCATGTTACCAGCGCGAGAGCAGAGGAAGCTGCATTGTTACCCTTGTCATACATAAGGCAACATAAGCTTAAGACAGTTCAGCTAGTGAGTGAAAGGCAGAAATGGGGCTTTACCAGAAATGGTTACTCTGAAGTTCATTTTCATTTTTCTATGTACCGAGCTGTCTTAATACAAATACCAAGTCCACAGCTATTCCATATGACACAAACATTTTACAGCACTTAATATTATAGAGACTTACACAAATAAAGTCCTTTTAAAAAGTAGGTAACCTAAGTACTCTTCCATTTCATATTTTGAAAGATTTAATGGGCTTTATTTGAAATAACTTCAAGGCCGAGCACAGTGGCTCATGCCTGTAGTTCCTTGGGAGGAGGCCAAGACAGGAGGATCGCTTGAGCCTAGGAGTTCAAGGCTGCAGTGAGCTATGGTCACATCACTGACTGCGCTGCAGCCTGGGCTACAGAGCGAGACCCCATCTCAAAAAACAAACTGTAAATTTACAGAAAAGTTACAAGAAGAGTACAATAACTTTACCTCTATCATCTGTAATTAAGTCACATTTGCTTGTTCTCTGTATTATATATTTTTATTTGTTTTAGCCATTTGAAAATTGTTCTACTATAAGGACACATGTACACGAATGTTCATTGCAGCACTGTTTACAATAGCAAAGACCTGGAATCAACCAAAATGCCCATTGATAATAGACTGGATTGGAAAAATGTGGCACATATACACCATGGAATATTATGCAGCAATCAGAAATGATGAGTTTGTGTCGTTTGTAGGGACATGGATGAATCTGGAGAACGTCATCCTCAGCAAACTGACACAAGAACAGAAAATGAAACACCGCATATTCTCACTCATAGGTGGGTGATGAAAAATGAGAACACATGGACACAGAAAGGGGAGAACTAAACACTGGGGTCTATTGGGGGGAGAAGGGGAGGGCCAGTGGGAGGGGGAGGTGGGGAGGGATAGCCTGGGGAGAAATGCCAAATGTGGGTGAAGGGGAGAAGGAAAGAAAAGCACACTGCCATGTGTGTTCCTACGCAACTGTCTTACATGCTCTGCTCATGTACCCCAAAACCTAAAATCCAATAAAAATTTAAAAAAAAAAAAAAAGCAAAAAAAAAAAGAAAATTGTAGACATTATACTCCATTCCCCTTAAATGTTTCAGCATATGTTTACTGAGAACTAGGACATTCTGTTTCATAACCACAGTATAATTAACAAAAACAGGAATTGCAGCATTGATGTAATACTTTTATATGATGTAAGTCCATATTCACATTTCTCTAATGTTCTCAAAAATGTCCTTAATAGCATCCATTTCCCTTTTCAACCAGGATTTAAACATGTTATATTAATATCTCTTTAGTCTCTTAATCAGGAGCTATTCCTCTGCTTTTTTCCATAAGATTGACATTTTTGAAGAGTATAGGTCAGTTATTTTGTAGCATATTTTCTCATCATCGGCAACAATACTACAAAAGTGATGTCCTTGGTGTGTCACATTAGGAGGACGCATGATGTATTTCCCTATTATTGGAAATGTTAACTTTGATATCTTAGTCAAGGTTGCGTTGAATTTTCATAATTTCTCTGTTCCAGAGGAATTGGGCTTATAAGAGAAGGTTTAAGTAGTTGTTCACTTTCCCCTTCTAAAGTTTTTTCTGGTTTGGAAGTATCTCCTTTGTGTGTTGGATTTTCCTAAAATGGAGGATCCTTGTTCTGTGCAGCGTGTACCCTTGAATATAGGTGAAAGGGCTAATGTCAACAGAGCTCATTTTGAGTGATAAAGTGCCTGACTTTTAAGAGAGCATTGCCTCTTTCTTCGTGGATACACATGGTTATTTAACAAATGTAATTCTCAGCTGAGCTATGACAGCCATTTTTAATATGGAGTATAGTAGGCACTCAGTAAACATTAATTGAGTGAGTGAATGAAATACAGTTTAGATAAGACTACTAAAATTTTAGTGAAATTCACTTGTTGACAGAGCTACTTTTTTTTTTCCTCATTTGAACAGAGCTACTTTTTTAAAAAGTTGCTCACTGATTTGTTTTCCAGGTTTCATTTATTAATCTACGTAGCGTAGGCCCTGAATAGTTAGTGATGTCATCTTTATTACTGAAGATGTGGCCAACAGGGAAATGAAGGTGATAACCTCGTCTTTATGGTGCGTGTGGAACCTTCTTTAAAACTGTAAGGAAATCCTTACAGCATCTGCCGTATGAAGTATAGCTAAGTGTGTTTGTTAGAGTTTTATTGTAGAGATGTATTCTGTGAGATAACTAACTTACTTAGTTAAAGAAGCATAGTAGAAATAGAGCCTGTATCTCTTGAGTCCTGAATTATCTTAGTTTCTATGGGATTTATAATCTGAGCCATTTGTTTACAGCAAGCCATGTGATTGCTTGTATTTTTTTATGAACATAGTACATGTACCTTTTATCTCTAGGGCTCTTCTCACTGTCAAGATACAAAGCATAGTCTTGTCCCAGATGGGATAAAGGATGCGGGATGCTGTCAGATGATAAAAAAGCCAAGCACACAAAGGAAAGGTTGGTATTTATAAAACAAACAGAATGGGCTCTTTCAGCACTCCCAGACTCTAAAGCCCTACCAGATCTAGCAACCTAGCAACTAGACACTAGCAGCAGTAAATAAATCCTCCTCCAGACTAAAGGCTGAAAAGGAAACAAGATTTTTAGACTTCCGATGAAGGAGGAGGAAAGGGTCTTTGGATGCCCCTTATCTCAGGCCCCAGGCTTAGTCTGGAAGACATGTGTCTAGGCCAGGCCTGAAGCTCTGCGAGGTACAAGGAAATAATAGCTGTCAAGAATTAGGAGACCTGGATGAATCCCATACTATGTCTGCCAGAGAAAGTCACTTCCTCTGTCCTCTCATCATTTTACTACACCCAAATGAATGTCCCACAGTCAACTCTGCATGTGGGAACAGACTTTATGGGAGAGGTCAGGACTGGTGACACATCTGATGAGTCATAGGGATCATTCTATTTTAGGAGTGGTTGAGCCCCAGTCTTCTGGAAGAGTGAGGAAACTGAACTACAGAGAGAGATTGGGGGAATTTGCCTACAGTTGCACAGTGGGTTACAGTAGGTCTGATCAGGTAGCAGAATCTGCAGATAATTATCTTACCTGGTGTAGAGGAGTCAGGTCCCTAATTGGTTTGAATTTAATTACTCAAAGTACACGCACAGAGAATTTGTAGTATAAGATTCAGAACAAATGGGCTAAGAAAATGTAGCAATTGGAAGATGAAGAAGAGAGGAATATTCAAAAAGATAGCATTGTGCTTTTTTTCTTGGTGGAGTTAACAGATGAGGATTAGACTGTCTTCATGGACTATAGATACATTGGAAAATAGTTTACAGTCATTGTTTGAAATCTGTCTATAGTGGAGGAAGTAGTGAAGATAAAATGTGTTTTGTGAGTTTTCATAGAGGAAAGTCAGTAATAGCCAACTCAATAAAGTATATGCTCAGCTGTTTCATCTTTATACTTAGAGATTCCTCAAGAGGATGATGACACATTAGCCATGGATCAAAGAGAAAAGGACCAAGGCCCCCGAACAATAAGGCATTTCTCTGGTAAAGCTCAGCTCCCATGTTCTTTGATGCTTTTTCTGTGTTAGAATAATGTTCTTTACTGGTTTCCAGAATGTTTCGATGGACATTGGACCCTCCTGGTTAATGATATGTGCAGCTGTGACTCCAGAGTGGATGGTTCTACCTAACACAGACCTTGTTGGTTTATATTGGATGATGATGATTCACTAACTTAAATGACCATAACACATTTCAAGAGGAGATATTCAGGGTGCATAGCTCAGATTTTTCAGTTGTAAACTTGCTTTTTTTGTGTTTCTAAAGATTGGTGGTCTGTTGAACACATCTCTGTGTCTCCCTCAGGAAAGCCAAACAGCATATTTTTGCCCCTGCAAATTAAGTACTTTTTAAAACCAGTGAGATACTCAGATGGGAGATTCAAATTTCTCCAAGGTAATATGTGGGATAATAATCATTACGTGCCATATGTTTGGGAAAAAATCCACACTTAGTAGATTTTCAAGGGGAAGAGCCATTCCAATTACAAAAGAAATTTCCAGAACCCCAACAGATCTGGTTGATTATGTCCTTCTTCCTCTCTTGTTTTCTCTGAGTACCAAATGTTTTTGCATGTAACTGTTTCTGGGAGGAGGCAAAACATCCTGATAATAGAAGAACATCATAAGAAAGAATATCTGGCACTGGATGTCTTTCTTTTTTTTTTTTGAGATGGAGTTTAGCTCTTGTTACCCAGACTGGAGTGCAATGGTCCAATCCTGGCTCACCGCAACCTCCGCCTCCTGGGTTCAGGCAATTCTCCTGCCTCAGTCTCCCAAGTAGCTGGGATTACAGGCACGCGCCACCATGCCCAGCTAATTTTTTGTATTTTTAGTAGAGACGGGGTTTCACCATGTTGAACAGGATGATCTCGATCTCTTGACCTTGTGATCCACCCGCCTCGGCCTCCCAAAGTGCTGGGATTACAGGCTTGAGCCACTGCGCCCGGCCTTAGATGTCTTTCTTTATTTAAAATGTGCAAAACAATCTCCAGTGATTTTAAACTATTTCTATTAGAATAGGGACCATTCCTTATGATGATGTTCTGTTTTCCCAAGGAAAAGTTAGAACCTACTCTTGACAAGGTACCATGCCCAGCACTTAATACACACTGCCTGATTTAATCATGACAACAAAGGTTTGGTTACTATATATCCACTTTACAGCCAGGGAAGTGAGGACTCAAAGGGGCAGCTAAGTTGTCTAAGGTTGCACAACTGCAGTGGATGTAGGGTTCACATCTTCTGAGTGGCTACAAAGCCCTCCCCCTATTTGCTTTTTTCCCCAAAAAGCCCATTTAAAGAAGGGAAATCAGAAGAGCACATCCACTGGACTTTCGTTTAGATCTTGAGAAAAACTTATCAGAGTGATTTTCTGCCACCACATTGGGTTTCTGTTTACTCCAGACACGTTTTCAGCCTCCTTGAAGACTTGGACTTTGTGCAGTAGATTAACATACTGTTTTGTTTATGCTAATTAGAACAGACCTTACAACCCAAGCAATACCAGAAGATGAGCGTGCATGCAAAGATACTGTGATTAGGAGGAGGAGGCTTTAAAATTTTATCAGTTAAAAAAATTTATTCCTGAACAAATGCAGTTTGCATAAATTAATTAAATTTTTGAAGGGCCACAGGAATTAGGTTACCTCAGCTTAATGTTCTCAGTTGCCTCCTTATAGGGAAGACTAATTTGGTAATGGCCCAGTTTTAGAATTCTTCCTAGGAAATGTGTTTCCACAGTAGGCTCTGAAATAACCTGGCTGTGCTTCTCGCTTGGCTGTTAGGGTACATTTTGCTTATACAAAGAGACTTAGCCCCCTGATCTCTTAAATGGATTACCTGCCTTTCCCTTAACAATACATTTCTGATGGATCTGCTCCAGCATCTTGTGGACTGTTGGCCCTGTGCAGCCAGATCTGAGACCTCCATTTAAATACGAATATTGTCACTAGTGCCAGAGAAATATGGAAGTCAGGGGTTCCTCAATCTAGCTTTTGATAGTTTTACAGAGCAGGAATTTCAGTTTTCTTCTGTTGGACTTTTTAATCAGTTTCCAGAAACATGCTTTGAAGTTAATGGGTTTTACATTTGTAAGTAGCATTTTCTTATTTTTCCTTGGCATTTTTAGAACAGACAAAGGTACAGTGGTCAAAGACTTTTCAGGGCCTTTTTACAGGATGCTTTTTTAATAACTTGGTATTTCCCAAGCTGTCAAATAACAGTGAGGGGATTAAAATTTCTGTTTGATACTAGTGAAGAGAAGTCTCGCTGTCCAAGGAAGATTGAAACATAGCACTCTGTACCTTTAATTCATTTAAAACAAGTATTTGTGAAGCACCTGTTGGATGAATGGGAGATCTGATCTTAGAGGAAAAGGTTCTTTCACGGGGAGGCAGGGGCTCAGATGCATGAGTAGATAAATTACAGTGCAAGCAATATCAATTGGAGTGCTAGATGAGCTGGGCAGACAGTGATTGTTTTAGCAGGGAGAGGAATTAAATATTGGCAGATTTTATTGGGAAGCCTTCAGAAAAGATGGGGGCTCTACCAGCCTGGATAGATAGCTGTGGAGACAGGGAAGAGCAGAGTGAGAGGAGGAAGTACAGTCTTTGGAGTGAGGCATGGAAGAGTGTTACCAGTTGTGGTGAGTTTGCTTGACTAGGGTGGGCAGCTAACATTGAAGTATACTTGGAGATGAGATTATATAGCTGCTCTGTTCAGTAATGTAGTAATTAGCCACGTGTGGCTGTTTAAGTAATGTGAAATAAAGTTAAAAATTCACTTCATCGGCCGGGCGCGGTGGCTCATGCCTGTAATCCCAGCACTTTGGGAGGCCAAGGTGGATGGATCACGAGGTCAAGAGATCGAGACCATCCTGGTCAACAAGGTGAAACCCCGTCTCTACTAAAAATACAAAAATTAGCTGGGCATGGTGGCGCGTGCCTGTAGTCCCAGCTACTCGGGAGGCTGAGGCAGGAGAATTGCTTGAACCCAGAAGGCGGAGGTTGCGGTGAGCCGAGATTGTGCCATTGCACTCCAGTCTGGGCAACAACAATGAAACTCCATCTCAAAAAAAAAAAAAAAATTCTCTTCATCTGAAATATTGTTCAGTTGCTACACATAGCTAGTGGCTACCATATTGAGTGCAGATAGAAAATATTTCCATCATCGCAGAAAATTCTGTTGATCAGCACTGATAAAGGAAATACAGGCTTTTACACAGGTTAACAGTGTGAAGAGCAACTGGAGATCTTTTGACTTGGCAAATAGTAGTATGATGGAAGTCATGCCCAAAATAGAGTAGGAGTGAAAGGTTATCAAGTAAGTAGGCCTGTCACTTCACCGTTAAAGCATACAGAATGAGATCTGGGGATGATTAAGCTGTTGTGAAGGAAGAACATTTGGATTTTGCCTGGTAGAATGACTGAAAGCATCAAAGAGCTACGGACATAGCCACTGAGGGTTTCAGTGTGAGAGACAGAGGGAGAATGGTGTAGTATCAATGAGCAAACAGTTTGGAGGAGGATCTGCCTTGGAAGCCTGGTCATGGAGAACAGTCATGTTTTTACAACCTTAGAGTGTGGTATAAGGATTAAATGAGGTGATACATAGATAAGGCACAATGAGCCAGATCATGGATAAAAACTTCAGATACAGTGAGTTTTAAAAAGAGACCTACCTCCTTTATTTTGGCCTAGTTTGAAAGCATGTAAAAATTACATTGTGTGGCTTTGTCTTTCATTTTCTGCATAAATACTTGAGCTGAGAGCACTGAGAGCTCTTCCCCTTGTTAGCTTAGGTAGCAACTACCTTTTACTGAACACCTTCCTTGTAAGGTGACTTAGGTACTTTATCTCCTCACCCATGTGAGATCCATTTTATAGATGAAGGAACATAGCTAGGAAGAGGTGAAGCAGTAATGCGAACTAAAAGCTTTGCTTTCCCATTTTATCTCTGCGTGTGAGGATGGTTTCACTATCTGCTCCTCAGATTGATACTGTGATTTCTTGATCTGGTCATCTGAAGCTTGATGCGACATCACATCTACATTTAGAGGTTGTCTTCAGCACTGAACTCCATTTGCCATCTCTTTTTCAAACGTAAGACATACATCCTATAAGACTTGCTTACTCTCGGTGGTAATTGGTATGTGGGGTGACCTGGAATGACTGCCACCTGGCCTCCTCCAGGGCATTGGCTCTCAATGTGAGGTCCGCAACCAGTAGCAGCAGCATGAGCATCACTAGGAGCTTGGTAGAAATGCAAGGGTTTAGGCCCCATTCCAGACCTAAATCCCTGAGGGTGGGGCCCAAAAAGCCACTTTAAGCCCTTCACATGATTCTGATGCACTCCAAAGTTTAAGCATATAAATCAAATGAACAAGAAGGATAGTTTTAAAAACCTCTTATGAATTAAGTTGGAACCATTTGGGTACATTTATATTTTTCAACACGCTGACTGTGTAACCCATCAGCAATGGTTGCCTGTGAAGATGCGTGGGAAGGTACACATATTAAGTGAGATGTTATTTCAAAAGGACAGATCTATGGTTTTTTTTTTTTTTTTTTTAAGGCTAGCTTTGTGAGTAAATTATCACTATGTTATAGACTCAGAATAAGGTCAAGGTGTGTATACTGTTGAATACAGGGTTGGGTATCTCTTTATAAGAGCTAGCAGTGATTTTCAGTGGACAATTAAGGGAGTTAACACTTAATATTTTTCATGGTATTTTTATGTCAGTTAGAATTTTTCATGAATTCTTCCTTATGCAATTGTAGATAATTAAGGCCCCATATGCTTTGCAGTAGTAGCAGCAGCTCAGATTATGTTGCAAATGGAACTGGTAAGAGCAGTAGGTTTTGGAGTGAGGTTGTAGATGGGCTGCCGCGACTGATTTTTGGACAGGATGAATGAAAGCAGTATTTGGATGTCAGCATTCAGAGTTTAAAAGTCCCTAGTTATGGATCCCACACTGAGTCAGTG